GGAGGTGGGGCCTTTGAGAGGTAATTAGGTGATGAGGTCATGAGAGTGGAGCCCTCATGAATGGGATTAGTGCCCTTATAAATGAGGCCCCAGAGATCTAGCTTGCCCCTGCTGCCATATAAGGTTACAATGAAGTCTGTGACCCAGAAGAGGGCTCTCACCCAAGCCCATGCTGATACCCTGATCTCAGACTTCCAGCCTCCAGAACTGAGAAATAAACTTCTGTTGTTTGTAAGCTACCCCAGTCTGTGGAATTTTGTTGTAGCAGCCCGAACAGACTAAGATGGTCATCTTGGTTCTTCCTCCTCTGTTTTTTTTTTGGTGAGGAAGATTAGCCCTGAGCTAACATCCGTGCCAATCCTCCTCTTTTTGCTGAGGAAGACTGGCCCTGGGCTAACATCTGTGCCCATCTTCCTCCACTTTATATGGGACGCTACCACAGCATGGCCTGACAAGTGGTGCATCGGTGCACACCCGGGATCCGAACCCAGGCCTCCAGCAGCGGAGCGTGCGCACTTCACCACTGCACCACGGGGCCAGCCCCCATCTTCCTCCTCTTTGGACTTTAGTTTCCTCATGTGTATGAGAAGGATTGAACTAGATCTGTGGTTTTCAAACAAGGTTCCTGGGAAATTTGGCGGAGGTGCCTCAGGAGTGAGGGGATTCTGGGTCATCTAGGGCAACTCTGCTTTGGCTTGTTTCGTATTTGGGCTCTGGCACAAGATGCATGCACAAGGGTTCCTCCACCAAAGAAAGTTTAAACATACAAAGAGAAATGCCCAGCCCAGGCAGCAGGTACTGCTGGGCTAGAATCTACACAGCTGGGACGCTGGCAGTGCTTAGAGAAGGAAAGGGGGGGCATGCGACAGTTGTGGCAATCAGGAGGGAGCAGAAGGAGACCTGGATACTGGAAGGCTCCATCAGGCACAGGGAGCAGGGGTGGCCTCATATAGCTGGAGTGGTAATGAGGAGTGGGCTTGGAGACATCAGAGCATCCAAGACTTCAAATACCAGACCAAGGAGCCCAGGCCTTCTCCTGTCTGCAGTGGTGAGAAGAAACAGCCCCCAGCCCTCACTGAGCGAGGATTTGCCAAGTGCCTGCTGTGGGCCAGGACTGTATAGTACTGTGCCAAGGAGGATGCAGAGGTGTGGCTGACAAGATCCCACCTGGAGCAGGAAGCTCCCAGACTAGTTCCCCATGGCCCCAGGCTGTGTCCTCCTCAGTCACTCACTCAACAAACATTCACTGATATGGTAACCAGCCTCAGAGATGACTTCAATTATCCCCTCCTCCTGGTATTCATGCCCTTGTATAGTCAAGGTGGGAAGGCCCATACTGAATAGGGTTGACCTGTGTAACCAGTAAGATTTTAGAGAAATGATGATATTAGAATTAATAATACATGAAGATATTGGAGAAATTAGTGTGACTTTTAAAATTGGGTCAAAAAGACATTGTGGCTTCTTTACTCTCTCAAATCCCTCACTCAGAGAAGCCAACTACCATGTTATGAGGACATTCAAGGAGCCCTGTGGAGAGGCCCACATGGCAAGGAACTGAGGCCTCCTACCAACAGCCATATGCATGACCCATCTTGGAAGTGGACCCTCTAGCCCCAGTCAAGCCTTTGTATGAGTGCGGCCCTGGCTGATAGCTTGACTGCAACCTCATGAGAAACCCTGACCTGAGCCAGAACTATTCTACTAAGCATCTCCCAAATTCCTGATCCACAGAAACTGTGAGATAACTCATACTTGTTGCTTTAAGCCATAATATTTGTGAATAATTTGTTACCCCAAATCAATACAACTGATGCTACTTTGCGCTGTGCCCAAGACACTGTCCCCACTGTCATCTGTTTCCTTGGACCACAACAATGGCTCTTCCCTGGGCTCCCTGCCTCCTGTCTCAAGCCCTTTCAATTTCTCCTCCACATAGCATCCAGATAAAACCTAAGGTCCATTATCAAGAAATGTTTATTGAACAACATGGCTCTTGCCTGCTCAAAACCGTCCATGGCTCCCCATTGTATTTTGTGTTATTTCCAGGAAGTATTTGCAACTGAGCACGAACAATATGATGGTTGAGTCTCTGGCGTCCCAGAGCTGATTTGGGAGCAGAGTAGGGAGCAAGAAGAGTCCTTGTTTGCCATGGCCCCCCTGGAATGACAATCAAGAGCCCCCTGGGGAGGGAGGGTGGGGCCCCCTGGCAGCTGGGCCTGAGACAAGGCAGCAGCTTTGTTCTGAATCCACAATGGCAGGATGCCCAGCATAGACCCAGCTTCCCCAGCTTCCTCCAAAGCAAGGCAAGGGGGCGGGAGCTGGGGCATCCGTCCTGCTCTGTTATGGCAAGAGCATGCCCTGGGGGCTCTCAATGCGCAGTGGAGGCTGAGGGAGGGCGGGTAGCATGAGAAGCCTGGGGGGAGGAACTGGGAGGCTTCTGTAGTGAGTCAGGCTGCTAACATTTCTTGAGGACCTCTTAGGTTTCAGGCACTATTGCTAGGCACTTGCCCCGCATTAGCCCATCGCAGCAGCCTGGAGCTAGACTGAGTTAGGTTCTACTGCTGCTCCTACTTACCACACAGAGGCACAGGAAGAGAAGTCCCTGTCCTAGGGTCACACAGTTTAGACATGCTAGACTGGGATTTGAACCCAGGTCTGACCCCTGTTCTCGACTAGTATTCTCTTCCGCCTACTCCATCCATGCCAGGCACTGTGCCGGTGCTGGGGAGACAGTGGTGAGCAGGACAGTCATCTCAGGCCTCCCAGAGCCCTGTCGAGTGGAGAAGAGAGGCGATAAACCAGTTCCGAGAGTGGGATGTGCTCAGGGTCCTGCCTGCAGAAGGGCAGGGAGCTGGGGTGATCTTTACCTGCGGCTCTCAACTCAGGTTTGTGTGGGGCGGGGCAGGGGTAGGGGTGGGGAAGAGCTTCCCAAGGAAGGTGACATCCTGAGGAGAAAGTTCCCAGCAGCGACTGAGTACAAAGATTGAGGCTGGGAGAAGTGAAGTGACTTACCTGCGGCAACAGAACTAGTAAGAGGCAGAGCCTAGAGGGCTTGTCAATGGGAATCACCTGCTAAGCCCTTCCCACTGGTATCCCTGTGACCCTCACTCCCAAAGACACTGTGACGCCAGGAGAGACCACACGTGAGAAAGGGGGCCAGGACACAAACTCAGGCTTTCTGACTCCCAGTCCAGATCCTTCTGTGCCTGCTGCTGAGAGGGCTTTAACTGTGACCTGGGGGGAATCACCTCAATGCTGGACAGTCCTGAGTCTGGTGACAAGCCAGCCTCCAGGTCAGGCACAGCTCCAATTCCTCCCTGCCCCACCCCCACGACCATTCCAGGGGACCCAGGTGCCGGGGCAAGGGTACTGCCGGGATGCTCCTGCTATGGAGTGGACTCCCTTGAATGCGGAAGGGTCCTGAGTTCCAAGGAGGCTCTGCCCACCCAAAGCCATCTATCCTCTATCCTATCTGACCAAACCACAGAGTGCAGCCCGGAGGTACTCAGGATGCACAGGGACAGGGCAGGGCCAGTGGCATCTCTGAGTCACAGGGAGGCTGGTTGTCGAGTGACTCAGCCTGGGCCCACTTCCCCTCCTCAAGGCCAGCCTGGGCAGAAGCCAGGGCCAGGAAACCCTGCGCCTGTCCGCCCTGGGTCAGGTGCATCCCAGGCCCTCGCTGCCCCCACCCTCAGCCTTGGGCTGACCCTTCCTGCAGCCCTGTCTAGCACTGGCTGGTGCAGTGGTCCTCCATGAATTCTGGCTACGTGAAGGAATGAATGATTCCTCCCTGATTCCCAGGCCCCCTAGATCCCAGCCCCAGCCTGGTCTAGTGCCCATCCTCACACAGAAAGGGGAGACTGTCTCCATTTTCCAGATGAGCCTGGAGTCTCAGAAAGCCCGATAGGGACCGAGCCAGCTGGCACCATCACCACTTTTTCTCGCCTGGCCCTGACCATTGGGCTCCTTGTTGGAATCTTTACCACAGGGATCATCAATCTGCAGATATGGAAACTGAGGCTCAGAGAGGGGAGGCCACCTACCCAAGGTACACAGCGAGGCCGGCAGAGCAGGATTAGGTCCCAGGTCTTCCTAATCCAGGCAGGGTCCTTATGGTTTTCAACAAGCAGCCTCGAGTAGAGGCAGCTGGGTCTGGGGAGTTAAGCACAGAGAGCCAAGGAAAGGATGAGAGAGAAGTGATGAAGCTGAATCTGGCCGGCTGGTCAGGGTGGCTCTGGGCTAGCTCTAGGGGTTAGGACGTCTATGCCAGTTTCTCGACATGGCAGGCCTGCTCCCCTGCAAAGCCCCCGGGCCAGCCCTCCAGGCCCTCCCTGCTGAGTCCCACCAGATTCCTTGTCCTCTGCACACACAGAGCATGGACCTTGTCAAGACCCTTCCTTCATCAGCCTTCCTTTTTTGGTTTTTCTTTTAAAGGAGAGCTGCACATTTAGGTTTTCTCCCCCAGGCATGGGTTTAGCCATGAGAAGGGAGGACATATAGGAAGAGGATACCAGACAGAAGGAACAGCATGTGCAAAGGCTCCGGTGAGCAGGCCTGGCATCGTGGGGGACCCAAAGGAAGTAGGTGAAGCTAGAAGGTGGAGCCCAAGGGAGAATCGAGACAGGAGTCTGCTGAAACCACAGGGGCCAGATCCTGAGGGCCTTGCAGTCTGGGGCAGGAAGTTCTGACTTTGTTCCAAAAGCAGTAGGGAGCCACAGAAGGTATGTGTTTTAGAAAGATTCCTCTAGGGCTGCATGGAAGATGGAATGGAGGGGCCAGAGCAGAGCAGGGAGGAAGCCACTGCCACCATCCAGAAGGTGGGCAATGGTGGCCTAGCCAGTGGAGGGACTTCGGAGAATGGGGCTAGGTTGGGGGCCTGAACAAGCCATAGAGGGTAAGGGAGGATATCCTTGTTTCTGTGTGGGCAGCTAGCAGCCAGTGGGCCCATTGCTCTCCCTATATTTCCTTGGCTGGAACCCCGAGGAATGACACAGGTGTACAAGCAAAAATAGTTTATTTGAGGACGGAAGACCCAAAATTGGGGGGCCCAGGGGTGAGGCCACAGCAGTTGCCTGGAGTTGGCACAGATGACCCCAACTCCCTGGGGAAGCCCAGCAGCAAAGAAACCCCTCCGTGGGCCCCCTAGCTGCCTCCCCAACTTCCTAGAGGAAGGATTGTGCATCCGCCAAGAATCATCATCGTCGCCATCAGAACACGGTGAGGTTTTCAAAGTTTGGCCAGCAATTTTCCACACAGTAGTTGACAGTAATCATAATAATTACTCCAATAAGCACAGTGACTGCGCCAGGCTTAGACCCACCATCCAGTGGTGAGTGGGGTCTGTGATGAGGAGAGACAGGCGGGGACAGGAGGTAGGTCTCTCTGGGACTGGCAGTCCCCATTCCAGCCTCCAAGGTGGCCCTTCCAGAAGGCCCCTCTCCCTCGCCGGCCCCAGCAGCTGCCTGCTCTCCACTTTTCCCATGGCCACTGGCCAAGGTTGGATTCAGGCTGGGGCTGCCCCAGGTGGCCCATGCCCTCCCCCAGGTCTCAAAGACCCTTGCCAGGGTGGTCCCTCCGCCAGAAGCCCCGGCGGGCTGCCCAGGAGGCCACAAACTCACAGTTGTGGTAAAGGAACATTCCTGAAAGGGTGAGCATGATCCCCACATAGCTGAGAGTGCTGAGGCGGCTGCCAAACAGGAGCCTGGACAGGATGAGGTTGCCCACAACAGTGAGGTTGCCCAGGACATGGACAGTGAGGGCAGAGGTGAGGGCCAGCAGGGAGAAGCTGGCCAGGTTGTAGAGTACAGACAGGATGCAGCTGAGCAGGATGCAGGCCCAGAGGCGGGAGTCGGTGGGAGCGAGCGGCGGTGCCACACCAGCCTCCAGCACCAGGGCTGCACCCGCCAGCAGGCAGAAGCTGGGCAGCGAGGTGGCGTACAGCAGGGTCACCGCGTCCAGCCTCTCCTCCTGCAGCAGGGCACCTGTAACCAGGACAGCGGCCATCAGCACCCAATGGGGAGACAACCCCCACTTGGCCAACCCGGCATGACCTCCACGGCCCATCCTCCAGGAGGCCTGCCCCAACCCCTCCGGCAAGTTAGTGGCTCCCCCTCAGTAACATGACGGTCAAGAATCCAGAGGCAGACCACCTGGGTTGTGACCTGAGTCCACTCCTTGCTAGCTGTGACCTGACACTTAACCTCTGTAGGCCTAGGTTTCCTCACCTGCAAAGTTGGGTGATAATAAAACCTAATACACAGGATTGTTGTAAAGATTAAGATAGATAATGTACCTAAAGCCCTTATAAAATAAAATAAATAAGTCTGTTATCACCCACTTCAAACCACCTTCCACAGACTGAAACAATAATCTGCTTGTAATATCCAAATGATCAATAAACATGAAATGTGGCTCAGAAAAATAATCTTCAGGGGCTCCCCAGGCCCTGGAGCAAAATATCCTAGGGTCTTAACTGGCTTTGAAGGTCTTGTGCCAAGTGGCCCTGACCCACCTGCCTTGGCCTCAGCCCTTATTGCACCCACTACCCCCACAGTGCAGCTCCCACCAGCACAGCTGGGGCAGGCCGACACAAAGTCCCAGCTCTGCCACTTACTAGCTACATGAGCTTTATAATAAAAAAAGGGGGGGGGGAGTTTGAAAAAAATAAATTATTTGAGTCAAATGTTGAGTCCATTCATTGCTTCATTCACTTATGACCTCTGGGATGACAAGGAAACAACAAGAAAGTCATTGTTTGCACTTGGCTGTCACTCGCTGTTTATAACTGATAATCAACATCTTGTGCTACCAACACTGGGGCTTGTCAAGATGAATCCAGGACTAAGAGAAAACCTTCTAGCTTTGTAAGAAAAAAGAGGATCCTACCGCCTTGCCTATGTGTGAACGTGTGCCAGTGTTTGTATGTCTGTACTCACGTTACCACCCAGCCATTTCACAAAGGAAGTGGTGTCCATCATCCAAGTCACACACAGCTCAAGTGAAACGATAGTATTTGCATGAGGACAATGACGGTTTGGGGCCTTCTCCAAGTTTTAGTGGAGAGAGATGAGTAATAGATCCAGGTCCCCTCCCAGGCCCTCTGAGCCGCTATGTATTTTCTGACACACACTTTCCAAAGAGCCACAGAGGTGCTTACTCATAGGCTGTGCTTAGAAGAGGAAATCTTGTATTTCTCTCGATTTCATTCTGATGTTTGGCTTTGTTCTCTAGGCAACAGTCCCTCCGGCTCAAGCATTTCTAGAAATGAACAGATAATTGGAATGCCTCCTGCTCGTTCGCTCCAAATTTAGCACCGTTAGGAGCTGCCTGTGGCCTGCGTGTTAGAGGTCTAATCCCTGGAAGGTGTTCAGGATTGCAGGTGAACTTGACCTTTGGTGAATTTTACCCTGAGAGGCAGCCAGGCAGGAAGGCCCTAACCTCCCACCCAGCCCCTTGTGCCTGTTCTGCGTCCCACCCAGCCCTCCGCCTCCCCTCCCCACAACCCAGAGAAAGAGCAGTGATCATCTGCCAGAGGCGACTCACCCCACTCGGGGGCCCCAAAATGCCAGCCTGTTGTCCTGCCTCCTCAGCAACCTGTCCCCTGCCAGCCCCCACAAACCCTCCATTTCAAACTCGCCTTCTCCAAAGGCCTGTTCCTTTCAGCATCTGAACACGCCCAAGCTTCTGCCTCATGCAGACAAACATGTTCTCTAGACCCTGTTCCGCTGGCTACTGGCTTATCCCGTCTTTGCTCCTTCACTAGCTGTGTGATATCAGGCAAGTCACCTCTCCCTATGCCTCGTCTCCTCATGTGTAGCACAGAGAGATGACAACACCCCCCTCACAGTGGCGTGTAAGGTGCTGAGCACAGGGCCTGGTGCCCAGCGGTAACTGCTCACCATGGCAGCTGTCACGATCCCTCCCACTCTGCTCCTGCTGGCTGACACCCCATGCCCTGCCACGGCCTGTTTCCCATTCCCAGAATGCCCTTCTACTCTGGTCTAGGAAGAGCCGGGCACGGTGTGGGCACATAGTGAGGGCTTAGGAAGGGTTTGCTACTATGATTACACTATTATCATCGCCGCGTGTCTCTTCCCCTAGGCAGCCTTCTCTGGGCTCCGCAGGAAGAAGTAACCGCCCTGACCACACCTGTGCCCGGTTTGGCTCTACAACTTCTTCCCTGCCATTGTGGTCTCTACTTCTGAGGGCATCTTCCTACCAGCCTGAGAGTTCAGAGGACAGGGATCGGCTCAGAGCTCAGAGGCAGGGTACAGGGTACAGCAAGTTCAGCAAACTGGCACCCCACTTCCCAACCTTTCTGTGAATGGGAAGGTGGCATCACCCCTCTTCCCACATAGCCCCCCAGGGCCTGCAACTGGCCCAGGTAGGAAGGAAGCCGCTGGCCCTGGATGCCTGGGCCCTCCTCCTCCTGGGTTCTCATCCTCTGCTCTCATGGAGTCTGCTCTCAGGAAAGGAGCTGGCCATTTACACTCTAGTCTGAATCTGGCCCTGGTGCCTTTCCTGGAGCCTGTGGAAGTAGAAACCTCCTCATGTAGAAAATCTGTCTCACTCCTTGGCTCCAGTCTGTCCCTCCCCACCTCTGCCAGGCTCCTATCGCTATGGTGGGGCCTCCAGCCTCCTAAGCTCCCTCCTTAGCACGCTGAGCCATGGAGCCTCACCAGCCTGCCACTTCTGCTGTCAGACCCATTAATAAATCTACCACTTAAGGAGTACCTGCCCTGTGCCAGGTCCCAGGCCAGGTCCTGGGGAAATGGAGATACCCCAAAGCCAGTCCACGCCCTCTCAGAGCTCCTGTCTGGTGGGAAGCAGACAGGTAACCAAGTGGCTATAATACAGGGCATTTGGAGTCATGATGGGGGAAGCAGAGGGCACTGTGGGAGCCTGGAGCAAGCATCCAACCCGCCTCAGGGGCCAGGCAGTTGACATTTGGGAGAGAAGGAGGAAGCTGGCAGAGGCCAAGACATAGCCTGGTGCCAGGCACCTGCTGCTCCATGCCCGTGTGCCTTAGGCCTGGCTGCCCATAGTCTGTCCTGCAGGCCGGGGCTCCTCCTGGGTGAGAAGCACTGGGCCTCAGCAGGTGTGTTGTGGGCCTCAGGCTGGGCCCTTCCCAGCTTTGTGGCCCTGTGAGGTCAGGTTTCCTACTACCAACTCAAGCCCAGAACTCAGGCCTGTGTTCAGTCTTCAGCTCTCATGTAACCTGAGGGCAAAAATAGAACTGGGCTTTGGCCCTGCCACAGGGCCCAGGAGGATGGGGACAGGGCCTCTGGGTCCTGGCTCTGAAGATACCAGGGCAGTGCTCAGCTCTGTCTTCAACCTTCCCTGGCTGCAGGCTGGCCCCAACCCCAGCCCGGCACACTTGGAGGGCCCCTTCCTTCTCCCAGGCCTGGGTCACAGGATCTTAGAGCTGGAAGGCAGGGAGAGCAAGAGGTCCCTGGGACTCCATCAACTCCAACCCTCCTCCACTGACCAGATGGGGAGACTGAGGCCAAGACAAGACCTGGACCTGCCCAAGGTCACCCAGCAAGGATGAGCAAAGGTGTGGCTACAACTCAGGCCTCCTCGCCCCAAGTGGGCACCCTGGCCTCCCTCACATCTCCCTCGGGCTGAGGCTGAGACAGCAGGGGCTGTGACTCAGGCACCCCTCAGTGGGACAGGCAGGAAGGCAGCCTCCACCTTCAGGCAGAGTAATTTAGCAGGATCTAGGCCCGAAGCCTCCATCCGACCCTCTGCCCAGAGTCACACAGACCAGGATTCCAGTCCTTAGGAGCCGTGTGACCCTGGGCAAATCACGAACCTCTCGGGGCCTCAGTTACATCATCTGTAAAATGGGGCTGAAGGGAGTGGTCGCCATGATAGCTTAAGGTCCACACTTAGCACAGCAGGGGCCTGTTGCACTGCAGCTCCCGGTAAACATCAGCCCTTGCTAGACTTAGCCAAACCCCTGGCCTTCCAAATCCCAGCTCAAGGCCTTGCCCTCTTCCTCTCTCCCTGGTCCCCGCTATCAGGCCTCCCTCTAGGTCCACAGCCTTAAGCCACATCAGTTGGACAGCATGGTGTCTGACTGCCTGGGTTCAAACCTTGCCTCTGCTGTTCACTGGCCACATGGCCCAAGGCAAGCCCCTCTACCTGTCAAATGGGGACAATATAGTGACTTATTTGATCAGAGGATTATGGAGATCCAGTGAGATAAAGAGCTTGACAAAACATGGGACACAGATCAATGGCCTATAATAATAATGAATATTATTAAATATTGATTGGGCCTTTAGAGCCTAAGTTTGGGGCCTGGAACTCACTGAGCTGTTGGCCCTTTCTGAGCCTCAGTTTCTGCCTCTTCCAAAGCCGTGAGCCTCAGTTCCTTCATCTGTAAAATGGGATAACAGCCATACCCCTCACAGGGCCATCCAGGCCACACATCCACCCTGATCCCCACCTCCTCAGCCAGCGACCCCAGCACTTACTCTGCTGAATGGACTTGAGGCCACGGAGGCAGGTGGCCGCCAGCAGGAAGCCACAGCCAGCGGGGGGTGTCCGGAGCTCACCAGCCAGGCTGCAGGCAGCCCCCAGGCAGAGGGGTCCCATGGCGGCGAACTGCAGTGGGTGATGGCGACGGCCCAGCAGCAGCGCCGACAGGGCCAGCGTGATCAGTGGTGTGGTGGTGGTAGCCAGCTGTGCCAGGTCCAGGGGCATAGCGCTCAGGCCCACGTTGCCGCAGGCCATCGAGGTGCCGAAGGTGAGGCTGAGCAGCAGCACTTGGCGGCGGGCGCGGCCGGGCATGGGGCGCTGTGCCCCCCGGTGGCATGCCAGCGCTGCCGCCAGCATGTGCAGCGCTGAGAGCAGCAAGGGCTGCCCGAAGCCATACACCGTGAAAATCCACTTGTTGAGGCTTGACATGCTGGCTCCTGCCAGCAGCCACACTAGTGCTGCCATGGCCACCCGGGCCCGGCCAGGCCGCCCAAGGGCCTGGGGGGTGTCGGGGGGCCACTCGGGGGACCCAGACGCCCGAGCACTGTCAGCCACTGCCACTGCCTCAGCTGAGGTCATCCTGCTGTCATGGTGCTCCGGCCAGCAGTGGCACATCCGTACCAGTGGGGCTGGGGCAGGAGGCAAGCTCCCCAGTGACCAGCTCTGGGGCAAGAGAGCCCCACTTTGGGCCAGGCCAGATTCCGGGCCCTCGGATCCCAGGCCCGGTCTCAGACAGGTGAGGGCACTGCTTCTTGTGCCAGGCCTGTGCCAGGCAAGGTCCAGGAGCTATGCTGTGTTCTCGGCTCAGGTAGAGCCCAGGTCGTGGCTGCGGGGATGCCAGGCTCTCTGGTGCTCAAGCCCGTCCTAGTAAGCTCCGGGTACCGCTGCCCCGTGCCAGGTGAAATCTCCACTCTTCTCCCCGCCTAGTGCCCCCGTTACGCTTAGATGGAATCCTCGTTCCTTTTTCTCTTCGGTTCAGACCCCGGGACCTCCTGCGTGCTCAGACCGTGCCCAGGCCTGGAAGGGGCGATCCGGGCTCCCGCGCCCGATGGTGCCCGGTGGTCGCGGCTTGATACCTCCGACAGTGCCCAGGCCCTGCGGCTGGCTGACACACCGGCCCGCGCTCCGATCGATATCCGGCGGCGAGCTCGGCTCGGCTCGGCTCGGCTCGGCTCCGGCAGGGCCTGCCCTCCAGCTCCGGCTCCCGGCGGTTTCGGCTGCGTCTCCGGCTGTCGCTGCGGTTCCGGCACCAGCTCCCGCCCTGCTCCAGCCCGGGCCAAGCCGGCGGGCGAGGCCCCGCGCTCTTGGCCCCGCCTCCGCTGCCACCGCCCGCGCCCCACCCGGAAAGTTGGGCTGAGCCCCTGGCACCGCCCCCGGCCAGGCCCCACCCGCCCCCGGAGCCGGGAGGGATGTCTCGTCCCGCCCCTACGCCGCCAGCTCGAAGCCCCTCCTCCCTCGGCCTAGCATTCCCTCCATCAGCAGAGCCCCCTAGCTGGAGCGGTCAACCTGTCTGTCCCCTCTGCCCCCACCGGGGGATCAAGCCTCTCCCCACCTAGCGCCAAGGCGAACCCCCACAGAGACCAACACAGGGCGGGAGATACTGGGTTGTCTTTCTGGAGAACCCAATGAAAATTCCCAGCCTCACGGAAGACTCCATCTTCAAGGACCTCGCCCTCTAGGGGCCCCATCCCAGGACCAGTTTCGGGGACCACCCGATCTCTGGCCACAGTTATCCCGTGGGACCTCAGCATCCAGAAGAATTGGACCACCGGGCCCCTTAAGGCCCCTGCATCGCCCCTCCCTAGTCTCAGCACCTCCTCCCTCTCCCAGCCCAGGGCGGGCCCCCTCTAGGCGGGCAGAGGGAAGCTGAATCACCAGGGCCACCCACAGCTGCGGAAGCAGGGTGCCGCCGACCAGCATCCACTCCCCGGCCAGCAGCCCCTGTCCCATCCCCTGGGCACTCAGAGCTGACTCACAGCTGGACTTCCTGGGGTCCACCCTCTGCCCCCAGCTCCCAGCTCTGGCAGGACAAAGAGCCCTGGGTGGGCTGGGAGGCAAAGCAGCTGCCACTAAGCCCTTGCCCCTGCGTGGGTCTCGGCTTTCCCATCTAAACAGACGGACGCTCTCTCAGCTCAGGGTTGGGTAAACAGCGCGCCCCAAAGCTATCTTCCCTGTGGAAGCTCCTGCCCACTGGGACACGGCTCACTTCTAGCCTATTGTCTGACCAGCAAGTCCCTGGTGACAGCAACCTGTGTGGAGCAACAAGATCTCATGGGGCGACCGCTTAGCCCGGTCCGAGGCGCCCTCTGGTGGTCGACCCCGGAGTGGCTGCAAGTGTCTCCCAACCCCCATCACAATCATTGGACACGGATTAAATACCCCCAGCCTCACTCACGACCTGCTGAATCAGACGCGCTCTGATGGGCTCAGGAATCTGCGTTTTCACATTTGTCTCTGGTGGTCCTGACACCTACTGGAACTGCAAATCACTGCTGCATAACCCAAACTGTATGGCAGGGGATTTCCAGGCCAAGGACCAAAATACAGGGGTATTTAGACAGGGTTTCTCCAAGAGGGGTTATGAGAGGGAAACTGAGCCAGCCAAGGAACAGTCCCCCTCCCTCTGCATTTCCTGAAGAGGAGGAATCAGGGCCCCGTAAGGGTTATATTCTTTGTGAGATTTTGTCAGTGTTCCGGTAAGTTTCCTTTAATAAAAAACAATAATAATAATTTTAAAAAAAAGTGAACATCTTGCCATTCTCAGAGCTGAGCCGGCGGGGAGTAGTGGGTAGTGAAAATGTGTCTACACTTCCTCCAGGACTGCCACAACGTGGCTTCCACCTGCCCTGCCTGGTGAGGGGTGGGCTGTGAGGAATGAGGATCAACCAGGATGAGGGCTGGGTGGGCCTTGGTGGGATGGAGAGGGCTGGGGTGGGGGGCAGGCTGAAGGCAGAGCTGGAAGCAGGTGACCCAGCAGGTGATCGCAGATCGGAGCCCAGAAGGGCCAGGAAGACGTATCACCACCAGCTGCCCGCGACAGAGGGCTCCGTCCCACCCACTCTGCACAGTTACCCCTGGAGGGGGGTGCCGACAAAGAGCTCAGCCAGGGGAAGGAAGCAAAGTGCCCAAGGTTGTGTGGCTTGAGTGGTGGCAGGGGATTTGGACCAGGTCTGGCTGGCTCCAGAGCTCCAGTTTCTAACTGGGCTTGACTTGCAGGCAATATGACTCTCCATAGGATATTCCCTTGAGGGAGAATGGGGGACAGGATGCCTAGCCTCATGGAGGGCAGCAGGGGGCTCCTTCATTCCATCCAAAAGCCCAGAGCAGCCGGCCCTTGCTTACAGGCTCCCCAAATCCCTCAGGTCTGAGTGCTGCCCTTTAGGGTCTCAGGCTGCTGCTGAGGGAAGATGATGCAGGGAGGTGCTCTGGGAGGCATCAGGAGGGAAGAACCCATTTCTAGCAGCTGGGCTGCAGAGGCTGTGGGATGGGCCTCTCCTCTTGTTGCTGCATGTCCCTAGACAACTCACTTCCCTGCTGGGGCCTCAGTTTCCCTATCTGTGATCCATGATGAGCTCACAGGCATGAACATGCTATGTAACCCAGACACTATCCAGAGCTGTGAGTTAGGAAACAAGCTGAGAGAGGGGAAGTGGCTTTTCTGGACTCACACAGATCTAAACGCAGGCTAGACACAAACCTGGTCCCTGATGCCCAAGGGAGGGTCTCTGATTTATCAGACTCTTACTGTGGGGCCCTGCACTGGACATGACTGTTCTCTCACCCACACCGCTTCTCAGGTCCCTGCCGATTGTACGAGACTAGACACCAGACCCAGGGTCCATAGGTGGGCTGTGCTGGTCAAACCACTCTCCAGGCTTTGGAACACAGGCTGAAAAAGGAAGAGGGGGCTGGGGGCTTGACCTGGAAGGTGGCGGAGTGACTGCTGAGTCCACACTCAGAGGAAGGTGACTGAGGAGGAAGACGAAGAGCAGGCCTGAGGGTGATGGAGGCGACGGAGCCCTGAGCCCCAGCTTCTATTTCCTACCGCCCTTGGCTGCCCCTGAGTTGGTAGGCTGGGTCTTTTCAGCAAATATCCTTTGATTTGAGCAGGATTCAGTATCTTCCTGCTCCTTGGAGCCAAACACACCCTGACTAAGACTGTCCCTCTGGAGGTAGGATCACGCCCTGCTCATGGACCCTTGAAAGCCCAGTGCAAGGGTGTTCCCTGTAGTTACCACCCACCCTCTTTCTAGCCTGGCCTGAGGCCTGCCACAGCCAGTTCTCCTACACAGGAGGGGCCCGTGCTTCCTCAGTTCGTGCCTCAGGGGGTGGGGAGGCAGCAGGGTGGTGCAGTGGCAAGTGCCCGAGGGCTGGGGTCAGTGGGTGAGGATCTTGGCTCTGCCACCTCAGGCTCTGTGACCTGAGGCAACCCGGACCTGAGTCCGCCCTTGAATGACTGGATTGTAAAGGGGAGAGTCACAGGGCGGGTTCTGAATCCTCCAGGCGAGTCCTTGGCTGTGAGGAAGGAAGCACAGGTGAACCAGCACTCGGGGTTCTGGGCACAGACATTTCACCTGAAAAATGGAAGCCGCTTCTCATTTGGCTTTCTGATACTTTGATGTTTGTTTCAACGTAAAAGAATTCTTAAATCGCCTCCTACCTGCCCAGACCCTAAATATATGAAACTGGCGATCTAGGAAGAGGCTCGTGTTTAATGTGCGGCTTCAAGGACGCGGTGTGTATCGCTGTAAGACCTGACCTGCTGTCTATCAGAGCGCCCCTCCAAGGGCAGGCCTCCTTCCTAACTTCGGGGAGGTGGAGTGTGGGGGTGCTTCCCTGGCCTGAGCCCCAACTTCCTAAGAGGCAGGGTCCCTGCACCCTGGCTGCCAAGGCCTGGGGTGGTGCCCTGACTGCACTGGGGAGAAGCAGAGGGGGAGAGCCCCAGCTCTAAGGTCCTGGGCGTCTAGCTGAGTTTGGGCTCTGCCAAGTAATCGTAACAATCATTGAAGCCCCCAATTTTCAGTATTGGAGTGGAGGAGCCAGGAGGCTGCCTCAGGCCAGGTTTGTCTGTCTCCTAGGCCACGTCCTCTGCCTGACACTGTGGGTGAGTCACTCTCCCTCCTGGAGCACCACTTTCTTTATCTGTAAAGCAGAGATGAAAACGAAAATACCAGCAACCTCAGAGTTGTGCAAGAAAGTGTCTAGCAAGTATGTGCTCTCTAAACAGTAATCAACCTCGCCACTGCCTGCATCATTTCCCCCTAGGACCCAGGAGAATGCTCACCCACCCTCCTCTGCTCCCCCCGGAGGTATCGCCCTTTTCTCTGTTCCTGGCGCGCGGGCATGAGGCGTCAGGACGCTGGGGCGTGTGTACAATCAATGCTTTAATCATTTGGTTGGTGGGCTTTGAGCAGTCCTGCAGAGCCCTCGCCAGCTACATTGCCAGCTCTGGGGCCACCTCCCTGACAGCGTAGTGGAGAGCTGGGGTCAGGACCACAGCCCCCGGGCCACAGAGATCTCCTTGCAGGACCCAGAATGGGCGGTACTCACAACGCCAGCGGCTGGTGGACTTCCTCTCCTTGTGCTGAGGAGTCTGAGAGGCCTTGTGCCCTTCCGACTATGAGTGGCCTTCATGGGACACCTGCGGGGCCAGCTGGGCCAGGCCCTGGCAGACAGACCTCCCAGGGGAGGTGCTTGGCTCCCTGCTCCAGGGTGGGTGGTGGCTTAGGACCTTCGCAGGGGTGGTGGCTGGGGTCATCCGGGGGACATTGCTCCAAGTGCACATGAGGTGGCAGCAGGGTCAGGCACGTGCCTATTACAGGGATGCCCAGGGAGTGTGCAAGGCTGCTGGGGTGGGTGAGCCCTGAGGCTACCAGCTAACCAGCCTCAGCTCGATGGTTTCTCCATCCTTGGGTGTGTAATCAGCAATCCCTGCAGAAACAGATTGAGTGGGGGATTAACAAGGCAGAGTATCCCGCCCCCCAGCCTCACCTTCTGGACCCCTACCCTGAGGCCACGGTCTGTAAGATCCGCGTGGTGGTGGGACACTGGGGGCTGTCCAGAGCCAGTCTGGAGAGTCTGAACTCAGCTATGACCTCAGGGTCCTGAGGCCCACAGGCTCATTTTGCAGTGGGGGAGCCCCCAGAAGGGGAGGGGTACACGACAGCTTGCTGGATAACCAACATGGGGTGAAAGGAACCAGAGACCCTGACAACACCTGGCACGCGGGGTCACTGTCTTCACAGTCCCTCGAGGGGCCATCAGGAAAAGGGACTTGCTCAGTGTGGTCTGGAGGAGAACCAGGACCACAAGTGAAGTCTCCTGGGAGCCAGCCTTCACCCACTAGGCTCCGGCAGGACACGCGGGTTCAGGCCCCAGCTCTGCACTCACTAGTGGTGTGCCTTTGGGCAAGTTATTTAACCTCCATGAGTGCTGGTGTTCTCATTTCTGAAATGAGAATAATGATGACGTGAACAATTGGGCCCTCATGGGAGTGGGCTTCCTGCTGGACTGGGGGGCCGAGGGGGCAGGACACAACCACCCACGTCTGCCTTATGGCTGAGTCTATCGGCTCTTCCCCTAGTCTTCATCCTCCAGTCCAGCCTTTATCAGTAACAGAGGCCAGATCTGAGGTCTCCATCTGCCACTCCTTTGTTTTATTTCTCAATGTGTTCATAAGCCAGGCAGGGAAAGAGAATGCTTTTTATTGGGCTCTCTCAGAAAGCCCCACCTTCTGGAAAGCACTTGGCCCAATGCCTGGCACGTGGTAAGTGCCCAGTAGAAGTTCCAGGTAGCAGGAACAGGGACAGATGAACTTTAAGAGGCTGTCTGGTGCCTGAGTTGATGCACAAGGATGCTCATGACAGCTTGGGGAGTAAGAGTTAAGATTGGAAACACCCTAACGGTCCAGCAGGAGTTGATAAGCTGTGGTCCACCCATCCCACTTGCTGCCCCATAGTGCAGCGCCCAGTGCCAGGAGCGGGCCCTGCTTGGCCTAAGCCAGTCATGTGGTGGTCCCTTCTCTCTAGCCAATGGTGGGCACAGAACCTGGGCCATCTCCTAGCAACAGGGATGGGGCCAGGAATGCACCTGTGTCCCAATTCTGCCTTTGTTTGCTGGGGGATTCAGAGAGAAGTTTCCTCAGTAATATAAGGGGGCAGCCCTGGGAAGACACAGAAGGAGGAGGAAGCCAACAAAGAGAGGAGTATGAAGTCACAGGGAAGTGGGGTAGGAGCCCAGGTTACACCAGCCCTGAAGTCCTTACTCCCTCTCGACTCTGGTCACACAAGCCAATGGATGTCATATTGTGGAAGCTTGTTTGCATTGTGTTTCTTGTTACTTGCAGCCCAGAGCACCCTAGTAGATGATATATTCTATGTGGCTATTACAGTCATCCCCCCTTACCCACGGTTTTGCTTTCCACAGTTTCAGTTACCCACGTCAACCATGGTCCAAAAATATTAAGTGGAAAATTCCAGAAATAAATGATTCATAAGTTTTAAACTCATTTAAACACTGGTCTGAGTAGCATGATGAAATCTCTTGCCATCCCACTCCATCCTATCTGGGACGTGAATCACCCATTTGCCCAGTGTATCCACTCTGTATACACTACCCACCCATTAGTCACTTAGTAGCCATCTTGGTTACCAAATAGACTATCTGGTATCTCAGTGCTTGTGTTCAAGTAACCCTTATTTTACTTAATAATGACCCCAAAGCTCAAGAGTAGTAATGCTAGCAATTCAGATATGCCAGAGAGAAGCCGTAAAGAGCTTCCTTTAGGTGAAAAGGTGAAAGTTCTCAACTTAATAAGGAAAGAAAAAAAATCGTATGCTGAGGTTGCTAAGATCTATGGTAACTTTTATTACAGTATATTGTTATAATTGTTCTATTTTATTATTACTTATTGTTGTTCATCTCTTACTGTGCCTAATATATAAATTAAACTTTATCATAGGTATATATGTATAGGAAAAACCATAGTATATACAGGGTTCAGTACTATCTGCGGTTTCAGGCATCCCCTGGGGGTCTTAGAAAGCATCCCCCACAGAGAAGAGGGGATTACTGTACAAAGAAAGGGGAAGATCTACATATACTGACACGGAAAGATGTCTACAATGCTTTAAAAATGAAAAAAATAAGTTTCAAAACAGTATATAGAGCTATGCTGTCCAGTACACTAGCATTAGCTACATGCGTTTACTGAGCACTTGAAATCTTAGTACACACCAAAAAAGCATGCAAAATATGTCATTAATAATTTTACATTGCTTATTTCTTGGAATGATAATATTTTGGATATTCTTTTTAGTTTCACCAACTACAAAATTTAGAATTACACACATGGCTCACTCTTTATTTCCCTCGGACAGCATTGCTATAAAGTATGGCTCCATTTTTATGAAAAAACAAACTTACATACTTAAAAAGTTATCTGGAAGAAAATACACCAAAAGTTAAAAGAAGTTATATCTGGGTAGCAAATTATGGGTGATTTTAAGTTTCTTCTTTTTTCCCTATCTGATTTCCTAGAGTTGCCACAATAACTTATGTGAAAATTCTTAAGGATTCAGTTAAATAAATTATATGCAACCTTGAGCATCAATTATTATCCAAAGCTGAGACCCAGGAGGGTTTTGGGGGAAAGCTGGGGTGAGTTGATGTAGCCTCACTGCTGGGACAGGGCTGGGGTGGGGGACTCGTCCAGAGGTGGCCAGCCACCTTGACTCACCTTGTAGCAGAGGCATGTCGGGGGCTCGGAGGAGTTGCCAGAACTCATGTTTCCCAACTTCTTTCCCCATCACGGAGGTCAGGTAGGGGCCTGACAAGGAAGACTGTGTTCCATACCTACCAAAGGGACAGGCAAAGAGGGAGAAAAGTGACTTTTGCGCCCATCTGCCAAGAGCAGAAATAGAACTAGCCACACCAGGAAAGTCCTGCCCTCACCCTCAGGGCCAAAGCTAGCCAAACCCTTTCCAGGCTATCTCCAGTGGGTCTCACCTCCACACCTCCTCTCCAGCCCCAGTGACACTGCCCACTCAGTGGACATCATTCCCTGTGTGTTGACCATGACCATGGCCTGCAGGAAGGGACACCTGTTACATTATCAACTCAGCAGTTGCCCCCTCTCTGGGGTTGATGTTGTCAGCAGTGAGAATCAGAAGCTGCCGGCTTCACACAAAAGATGCCAATGCCCGGGGCTGGCCCCATGGCCTAGTGGTTAAGTTCAGTGCACTCTGCTCTGGCAGCCCAGGTTCAGTTCCCAAGTGCAGATTTACACTTGTTGGTGGCCATGCTGTGGCAGCGACCCACATACAAAATACAGGAAGATTGGCACAGATGTTAGCTCAGGGACAATCTTTCTCAAGCAAAAAGTGGAAGATTGGCAACAGATGTTAGTTCAGGGTGAATCTCCCTCAGAGGAAAAAAAAAAAAGATGCCAATGCCCAATGAGAGAAGGTGAAGCCAGCATCCAGAGAGAAGCAGGAATATGGGGACAGGGGCAGAGACACCTGGTGGTGGCACTGGGTCTCTGGTTCTGGAATTTTCTGTGGCTCAGTGGCACTCCCCTCTTGTTGTGGCTGGGCTGCTCAGTCTTCTCTCTGATTCTACACACCCCGTGCTCCCCATTACCAGTGAGGGCTGGAGTTAGAGTTCTGGCCTTTGCAACCAAGAGAATCCTTACTCACACCTCCCTCCCTGAGCTCCTCACCCTGGACTTTGTGTTTCTCCAACCCATCTGGGCACCACTGCAAAGGGATCCTCTTAAATCTCCATGGGTCACGTCCTTCCTCTCTCCAAAAAACTAATGGTTTTGGTCTTAGAGAGGGACGCTTTTTATAGTTTTAAGAAACAGAAAGCCACTCAGGATGACCTAGTCAAAGGGAAAGTATTTTAGGGGATGTCACAGAGAGGCTCCCGTCCCCAGTCATTCCCTAAGTCTGTGGGGCCACATGGCTGCTCAGAGCACTTCTCTCTGCGAGTCTGCCTCCCTCTGTTTCTCTCTCCTCTCTTTCCCTCTGTCTCTCTCACTTTCTATAGCCCAGCTTTCTCTGCTGTGCATTCACGGGCCTCAAATATGGCTTCCATGCCCGGCCTCTGAACCCAGTTCAGGCCCCCACCTCCACTAACAGGAGAATGATTTCTTAGCTTGGTGGCCCTGATGTCTTCTCAGAGGTCCTGGAGCTCTGAACAAAAATGTTAAGTTCCATTTTTTCCTTTTGATGACAATATCCAAACATGAATGCCAGCAGGTTCTGGGTAATGTCAATGCCCGCTAGACTGAGGCCTGCAAGGATGCTCAGTGCATGCGGCCATCGAGACCGGGTTGGCCCTGAGCAGTACTGCTGTATGTGCTGCAGGCGACCAGGAAGAGAACCCAGGTGGGCTTAGTAGTGAATGCAGTGTTCAGCCCGGGGGGACGAGCCTATGAAGCCGCAACTGCCTGTACAGGCTTGACAGTGGCTCAAATCCAGGGAGTGCGGGGAGCACTGGTCTCGCTAGGCGTCTGGCAGCATACACCTGCTCCTCAGCAGATAGTCCTATTTTTTGTTTTTTTTCTTTCTTTTTTTTTTTTGAGGAAGATTAGCCCTGAGCTAACATCTGTTGCCAATCCTCCTCTTTTTGCTGAGGAACATTGGCCCTGGGCTAACATACATGCCCATGTTCCTCTACTTTATATGGGACGCCGCCACAGCATGGCTTGACAAGCGGTGCATCGATGCGCGCCGGGGATCCGAACCTGCGAATCCTGGGCCACCGAAGCGGAGTGCTCGCACTTAACTGCTGCGCCACCAGGCTGGCCCCACAGATAGTCCTATTTGAATGCTATAGGTTTTATAGTTGTCTTTGTATTTAATTTACAAAGTTGTTCAGGATTTATAGCTGTCTAGATCCAGAAAGAGAAAAGACTTTTCATAATAAACATATTAGTACACATCTAAGTGATATTATAACAGAAATAACCTGGGGTCTGGGAGAACTTCTGTCCTTTCAAGGGGTCTTTGCATGTCTCTGGGCTGAAATTCCCTTGCCCAGATGACCCCTAAGGCGCCAGCTGTGGGGCCTCCTTGGCTGCAGGAGGCTGTCCTCTGGGAACTCCAGCTGGGGACAGAAATTGGGGCCCTCTCAAACTGAGGCATATCTTTCTGGAAGAGAAGTCTGGGATCTGGGTGACCCAGTGGAAGGTACTCAACTTCTCTGGGCCAGATTCCTCATTGATAACAGGAGAATCACACCCATCTTATTTAGGGCATTGACATGGCCGGGCATAGAGCAGGGCTCTGGAAACGCTCATCCGCAGACTTGTCACGTCTCAGGGTGAGAAGCAAGTTTAAGGACATTGTCCAACCTCCACAGTCTACAGAGGGCTTGCCCAGGGTAATTCATCACAGGGATTAGACCAAACTCATTTGATAATAAAAATTCCTATTCTTATGAAAGCTAACCCGTATTGAGCAGTTACTAAGTGCAGGACCTTGCACATACAAAAAGCGTGAGACACATCCTCCTTGTGCACTAGTTCTCGGACTCCTTGCACAGGCCCTCTGAGGAGGGGAGCACAAGTGGTGTCCTCCCTGAGTTTTGGGTAAATAACTGGTTCTGGGTCCCTAGATGGAGAGTGGCAGAGCTGGATTCCAATGGCTTTGCTCTCCTAACCTGCTCTCCTAATGCCCGTGCTGGCCCACAGCTGCCTGTGTCCACTCCAGTGTGGGCGAGTGAGGAGTGGAGAAAGTGGAAGCAGGGCCTGGGCTGGCGCCTCTCCTGAGGGAGCCCTCTCCTCCATCCCCCGTCCCTCCCATGACCCCGTTTCAGGGATGGGGGGTCGGGTGGGGCGAGGGCTGGGAGGTGGGGGTCTCACATGAATCCTCCGAGCTCCTGGGCCTTCTTCAGGACATCTTCCAAGGAGGACCCAGCAGGGACAGTGATGGAATGTCTGTACGGTGGCAAGACACTGGGGACCTTCAGCGTGACCCTGATGACCTCTGAGACTTGAGTCTGTGAAGGGGTCTCCATAACTGGTTCCAACATGGCTGTGCCAGGGAAAGAGGAAGGGGCCACTGGTGTGAGGGCAGGGGGCTGGGCATCAGTCTTCTTTTCTTCCCTCGAAGACACTGTGGCCCATCGAGACCTCCCTTTCGCTATGGTCTCACCTCAGTCAACACCACCACGACTGGGGCAGCCAAACCCTGGCTGCCATCCCAGCCTCCCCTGTCCCTCAGCCCCCACACTTCCCAGCTGCCCAAGGTCAGGCCCCTCACTGGTTTCTCTGCCTCCAGTATCCTCCCTCCCACCTATCTGCCACATAGCACCCCAGAGGGCTCTTTCTAGAACATACATTTGTTTATATCACTCCCCTGTTACCTCTGAGGCTCTCCCCTCCTTTTCATTCTTCTGTCTGCCACTCCAGCTCATTCTTTCAGACTCCCCTCTTTAGTACGACCCTTCCCCCAAATTCCAGTCTTTTGCATCTCTGTGCCTTTGTTCTTGCTGCTTCCTCTGTTCTGCCTTTCTTCCCCTTTTCCACTGGCAAATCCCTCTCACCAACTCAAGTCCCTGTCTCAGATGAAGCCCTGAATCAAACTGCTAATTGGGACTCATTATGATGTATCAGAGCCAACCAAAGTATGTCTCTCTGCATTCATTAATTCATTCATTAATTCATTCAAACATTTCTGTACTGGGCATCACACAAGGGGCTGGAGATTCATGGCCTCCCCAGAGCTCTCCATTTGGTGTCTCCCTCCCCACATTGTGAGTTTCTAGAAGCCCTGACTGCATCTTTGCTGCCAGTGTGTTCCACGCACACCCACAAACCCTTGTTCACTCAGCAACTCAAGACCAAGCAACCTCCCCTGCGTGAAGGCATGCAGACTTCAATGAGTGCTCCTCAGATTGAAAAGAGCTGGGCCTCCGTGAAAGGCCCGGCTACCTCTTGGTGCTAGGCAGTCTGGGGAGATGAGATCCACATAGCTTTTGTGGTTCAGGACGGGCAGCAGCTGGGAAATCATGAGAACACTCTGGAAGGCCCCGTCCTGCAGACTGGCCAACAGAGCAGCCCTCGCCTTGAGGCATGCTTTGCCCAGCTGTACACCACGCATGGGGGAGGTCATCAGCAACTGGTGACAGAGTGAGGAAGAGAGGGACGAGATGGGTCAGCCGGTGGGGAGGAGCCAAGTCTTCCAGCCCCTGACCAGTCCACCTCCCACCAACCACCAGGGTGGACCATGGCTCCAGGGTCTCTTTCCCACCTGCAGCGCCAGAGGGCTGCTGTAGACATTCCCAAAGTGGCCCTCTGAGGTCTGGGCCTTCAGGATCTTCTCTCTCACTGTCCTGAGAGCCAAGGTGATCCTGTTTCTCAGATCAGGGTTCAAGTTGGAGCGCTCCAGACAGGTGAAGGCCAAGCCTGCCATGGCTGCTGTGTCTGCAGGGGACAGAGCCAAGTGGGGTCAGCCCAGGCAGGGCCTTTGGGCAATGGGCGGCCGCAGGAGGGCTTGAAGAAGGGGAGCAATGTGGTCAGATTAGCATTTTAGAAAGTTTCCACCAGCTAGGGGGACCAACTCAGCCCAGTTTGTCCAGAACTTTCTCCGTTTGGGCACTATAAGTCCAGTGTCCTGGGAAACTCCACAGTCCTGGGCAATCCCAAATGGCTGCTCACCCTACCCCTGTCTCCTGCTTGGGGGTCAGAGGTCAGGGAGAGAGACTGGAGGAGGGAGGCCCCTAGAGGCCCAAGAGGAATTTATCCTACACCACTCATTCCAAAACCTACCTTAATTTGGAAGCTCCAGGGGCGTTTTAAGTGGACTGATGCCTGGGTCCACCTCCAGGTGGTCTGATTTAATAGGTCCAGGGAGCTGCCTGGGCCCTGGGGGCTTTTAAGCCCCCACCCCATGGTGATTTAATGTGTCTACAGTGCTTTTTCTACAAGCCTCTGAGCCAGAACAAGCTCCCTGCGGGCAGGGGCTCTGCTACCTTCTTCTCTCTGGGCACCTACCTCCTCCAACCTACTCCTTCCTGCCCCCACGCTACGTGAGGCACATGCTCTCACTCACAGAACACAGCCAGGCCTACAAGAGACCTTGGATCACAATGACAGGAAAGGGCACGGGAGACCCAAGTTCACAAGGTGAGGAAGCAGATCCAGAATCCAGGTCTCGGGCTTAACAGCTCATATGATAATACAATCAGAGCCATGTAACCAGAACTTTCCCCATGCCAGGCACTGTGCTAGCCCTTCACTTATAAGGCATCCTTTATCGAGATGCTGCTGGGAAGTTATTTTACAGGAGAAGCTGAACCAGAAAGTCCATCTGACTTGCCTGGAGTGTCCTGCAGTGAGGGTGCGATGGAGCTGGGGTTGGGCTCCTGTCCCACTCCCACGTTGGTTCACAGCCACCACACCCCACGTGAGCTCTCGCCGCTCGCTAAGGAGGGGTCCCAAGGAAAGGTGAGCATGGGGCCAGGGGTGGACGCCTTCATTTGGGGCTGGGGTCTAGAGGAGTGCCAGCCTGGCTTCGGCAGGGTCTGCCCCACTCACCCACAGAGAGGTGATCCTGGTGGAGACGCCGGTCGTGCTCCACGGCATGTAGGAGCTTGCCCACCACGCGGTCATGGACTCGCTTCTGGTGGACACACAGGGCCAGGATGCTCAGGCCGTACTGGTAGTAGCTGGTGTGGGGATGGCCTTTGTGATTGTGCCCTGGGAGGGAGAAAGTGGAGGGGTGGGAGCTTCACACGGGGCCTGAGGGGTTGCCCCTCTGCCTCCTCCCAGCAACCAGCCCCACCAGCACACAGAACCCCACTGCCTGTACTTCCCAACACCTTCCTTTGGATCGTGGGATCCTTCACTCCTTCATTCCCTCAACCCTACTTGCTGAGGGCCTACTATGTGTCAGATGCTGTGCTCAGAGGTAGGAATACAGTGACAACATACCAGGCACAGAGCAGCTGGGGCCTCCAACAATAACCCAACCCACGCTCACAAGAGCGTGATTATAATTGAAATATGGACTGAGGTCCGGGGGAGCCATGTAACAGAGGTCTTTGAGTAGCTGGAGAGTCAGGGCAGGATTCTCTAAGGAAATGATGCTGGGGAGGTGGGCAGGGGAGAGCTAAAGATGGAGCAGGGGTGAGTTAGAGGGGGAGGGGAATCTTTCAGATGGAGGGGACATATATAAAGACTCCGATTTGTGAGCTGAGAGAAGGCCAGTGTGGCCAGAGCCCAGGAGGGGCGGATGAGTGGGTGAGCCAGAGAGTGAGTGAGCAGAGCCTGGAGAGGAGACGGGGGCAGTGGGCTGGGCCTGAAGGCTGTGAACACAGTGATGAGCAGCCCCTGCAGTGTTTAAGTAGTGCTGACAAGATCAACTTTATATTTAAAATGCTTGTTCTGGCTGTTCAGTGCTGAGTCCAGTCAGGGGACAGGAGAGTTAACAGAAAGAAGCTGAAGAGTAAGTGGCGAGGAGGCTGTGCAGTTGTCCCAGAGGTGGGTAATCAGGTCAATCTTGATGGCTGAGCAGCAGGACTTGCTGATGGAGTGCATCTGGGGTGCAGGAAAGGCGTGATCAAGGATGGCTACTGGGATAGGCCCAAGCATCTAGGTGGGTAGTGAGACAGGCAGAATGGAGAGCAGGAAAGAGGCCGGGGAGGAACACCCAAAGTTCTGATGTAGATGCTTCACCAGAGAATGGGGTCTGATGAGCCCTCCCAGTTGCTCCCTACTCCCAGCAGACTGTGTCCCCTCACCAATGGCATTCTTCTCATCTTCCAGGAACCGCTTCAGCTGTGAGACCAGCTTGTCCCCCTTGTGGCTCCTGGCCAACTCACAGTTGGCCCTGAGAGCGAGCATGTAGAGGGCCAGCTGGCCCATGGTGGGCTTGGCTTCACGGTCACTGTGGTCATTGCTGCCGGTAGACCAATTAACAACACTTCCGTAAGAAAGTGCCGCTCTGGTAAGCCTGGCTTGGGGCGCCCCCAAACAAGATCACAAAGTGGAAAAAGTCTGAAGATTTGGAAACTTTGTAAAACTGCCCAAAGCAGATATAGTCAGCTATGTAAGTTTTCTTCCCCCCCCCCCAAAGCCCCAGTAGATAGTTGTACGTCATAGTTGCACATCCTTCTAGTTGCTGTATGTAGGACACGGCCTCAGCACAGCCGGACAAGCGGTGTGTCGGTGCGTGCCCAGGATCCGAACCCGGGCCGCCAGTAGCAGAGCACGCGCACTCAACCACTAAGCCACGGGGCCGGCCCCACACATATTTTCTAAAGATGAAATATTAGATTCAAGGACAAACTCTGAGAGATCTCACATCCAAATGACCTGTGCCTTCCCCACCATTTTGGTCCCACTTCACCCACGCGCTCTCCCCTTTCTTTCCTCTCCCCACTCTGCATCCACTTCTCGAGAGGGAGTCCAAGCAGGAGATGCTCCATGGCTGCTCCTGATCCTTCACCTCTCATTCAAACTTCCACGCTGGACCTCAGAACAAGGCTCTCTTTAATGCCCCCTGGACAGGGAGTCAGATACTGGCTCTGGGCTCAGTAGGAAAAAGTGTGGTCATGGATTAGTGATGTCTGCCTCAGGCATGGGAGGAGAGAAAAAAACAGATACTGCTTCTGAGCTCAGTTTGAAAGTGTGGTCACGGATTAGTGATGTCTGCCTCAAGTACAGGAGGGTACAGTAGCAGTACAAGGGCCCTGCACTGGCATCTCCCATCTAGTCAAACCAACCCCATTCTACAGATGGAGAAATGCCCAGAGTAGACAAAACTTGCCTAAGGTCTGCCAACAAAGCAGTGACAGACACAAACCAGAACACAAGTCTTCTGTCTCTTAGGATGTGGAGCAAGACATGGGGAAACAAGAAAGAGAGCGGCAATACCCCAGGAGGTTCTGCTGGTAATTGAGCTTGAGGCTGTGCAGGTAGAAGGCCTCCTTGTCCCCAGCCTGCATGCTGGAGAGGCGCAGGCCCACATAGATACTGGGGTTCAGGTGCTCCTGGGAGAGCTGATCCATCCAAGGCAAGAGGCGCTGGCCCAGCCGCTCCACCAGCTTGCTGTCCACATTTGGTATTTCTTGGGAAAGAGAACAGGCCAAGTGATGTCGCAGGGCCAGGCCACCAGCAAGGAACTGCTTTTACCTTCCCAGGACCTTCTCTAGGAAATAAACATCCCCACCTCACCTCCACCCAGCACACAACCTACTTGTGTGGGGAAATCTGGCCGTCACGCCTGCCTAGTGCCAGGCAACCACTCTGGCAGCAGGAGTGACAGAGAGACTAGAGGCCAAGCCTGGCGATTTGCCCTGGGCACCACCCCCGACCTCACTTGGTCCTCCTGCCAGCCCTGTGATGTAGGTGCTCTCATTATCGCTTTGCACAAAAAAGGAAACAGAAGTTCAAAGTCATATCATGTCTTCCACAAGGGCTGCAGAGCCAAGGCTGGACCTACCTGCAAAGCCCCTGCTCTATGGCACTCTGCTGAATGCATGTTCTGCCCATTTACAAAAACTTCAGCCCAACCCGCAGAACGTGTTCCACATCTACTGTATTTATTAATTTTTTTTGGTGAGGAAGATTGGCCCTGAGCTAACATCTGTGCCAATCTTCCTCCATTTTGTACGTGGGACACCGCCACAGGATGGCTTGATGAGCGGTCTGTAGGTCCACACCCGAGACCCGAACCCACAAACTCCAGGCTGCCTAAACAGAGTGTGTGAACATAACCACTACGCCACTGGGCTGGCCCCCCACATTCAATTTTAAAACAGACTGCCCACTGGCTAACTGGGACTGCCTAGTGAACTTCCTCTGTGCAGATCTCAAAATAACACTTTTCTGGCCACCTCTGTGTAGGTGGAGAGGACTTGAGATGGTAAGGTGAATTGTTAGCAAGCCATCATCATTTGCAACCATTTTTCTGTGTGCTTTGGGATTTACCTGAAATTGTGTAACCAAAATACAGAAATACCTAGGAAGTAGAAGCTTCAGGGATGTTTCCCAGCTCCAGCTGACTGGCGCCTGCCTCCCTTAGGGAAGGGATCTGAACTGTGTGGGTGGCCTTGGAGGTACTTTGGACTTTTCCCTATTTACTGCCTCCCAGCTGCTGCAGGGATCCAGCTGCCTGCACTGTGTACCGTCCCAGGATGCTGGGCAGGCCGCCCCTTTCAGAGGACGAGCAAAGAAAAACCACGCGCAGAGTGTTTCACGCATCTTGGGCTGCAGGGCAAGAGGACCAGGGTTCCGCCCACAGAGCCCCCTCTCTCCCTGTTTGGATCCCACCATCTTATGTCTGTTTCCCAAAAGTCACAGATATCTGTTGCTGTGAGAGATGAGGGTAGGGGAGAGTTACTTTTCTTTCCCTTTCTCTCTCTCAACTCCTTTCTGTGTCTCTGCTTCCATTTCTATAGGGATTTCCCTCTTTCTCTGGATCTGTCTTAGTCTCTACATCTTTCAGCCCGTCTCTCTGGGCACCTGTCCCTCTGCACCTCTCTTTCCTCTCTCTCTTTTCTTCAAAGTGGTGAGGGAGCCCTGCCCCCACCCTGGGCCCTGACCTCCAGCCAGTGAGTCAGCCCTGAGATTAGAAGTGATAAGAAGAGAAGCTCCATCTGTAAAGAGAGGCTGAGAACCACAATGCAGCCTCCTTAGAAGGAAGGAGCCAGACAGATTCACTCAGGATAATAAAAGTGGCCCTGGGTGAGGTCCCTCCCCAGTGGGACCCTGCTCACAGGACCGCCCAGCTCTGCCAATGGAGGATTGACTGGCATTGACATTTGGAAGTGCAGGAGCCCGCCCTGCACCAGCACGAGTCCAGCATCTCTGTTAATTTCACAGCCACACGGAGCTTTAAGCTCACAGAGCGGGTGCCATGGGATGCTTGCATCACACCGAGGAGAAAGGCAAGGGAGCATTTTCAGCCCATTATACAGGTGAGGGAATGAGGCTCAGAGGGCCGAAGTGGCTCAGCAGCAGCAGGCTGCACTCCCAAAATTAGTCCAGGGCTCTTGTGGGGTCAGTCCTATGAGCCAACTGTTGAAAGGTTCATGCCCAGCAAGGGTAAGGACCGGATCCCAGGTCTCCCCTGGGGACTCTCTGGACCAGAACCAAGGGCCCAGGGCTCAGAAGTCTGGTTGCACTTGTGGAACCCAGGCCGGAGGCTTCTGGTGCCCAGGGGAGACCCTGGCCTGGAGTGCTGAGAACTGAGTCTGGCAAAGCCCTGGAAAGCTGGAGCACCTTGGGCAGGTCACCTGGGCCCTCTGACCTTTGACTTCTTCATCTGTCACCTGGACATGACTGTCCCTGCCTCTCGGTTTCTCCAAGGATCAAGAGATATCCTGGTGGCAAAAGCAGAGCCTAATGCTGTGGGCAGAGTTTGAGGAGGGAAGAAGAGCTGTGGGCGGCCCTGGGAGGATTCCCTTCCTGCCTTCAGCTTTCCGCCAGGCTCCGGTGCACAAGTAGCCCCAAACCTGTGTGCTCAGACTCATAGACAAGTCCCAAGAGGCCCCCGGGGGCCTGGGCCTGGGACACAGAGCCAGGCAGCCAGTCCCCTGTGCTTGGAATACACGTAGCACAAATGCCTTGCCAGGACCCGCCCGCCCCTCTCAGGATCCCCTCCCACCAGGCTCTCCACACACTCACCTCCCTCTGCCTTCGATACCTCTCCCCCCTGCCCTTCTTTGTCAGCTCCTCTCCTCCTTTGGGTCTCAGTTCCCACGTTGCCCCCTAGTCCTTGGAAATCTCTCCCGACCTCTCTCCCTGAATCAGTGGCCCCCTGGCTCTCTCTCTCTGCACCTGGCTGGCTTCCTTTGGCACACACCACAGACCCAAACAGCCCCAATATGTCTCTTAACTTCTTTGATCTGTCCCCTTCACTAGAATGGAGCTCTAGGAGGGCAGGGGCTGGACCTGTCTCGCTCTTTGTTCTTTCTCCAAAGCCTAACACAGCACCTGGCACAGAGAAGCCTTAATCAATGTGTGTTGGATGAATAAACGTACAAATGACTGAATTAATGGAGGAAATCGTGTCTGGTGGGGAGTCAGACATATAATTAATCTTGATACAATGTGCTAAACGCTGAAGTCCAGCCATGCCCAAACTGCTGTGGGAGCCCAGAGAGGCAGATCCGTCGCACTCCCCACACATCTGAGCCTGTTTCCGCAGCTAAACAGTCAGAGGCTTGGACAAGATGGCCCTCCCTCCTAAGGACCCAGGAGGAAAGAGAAACAGGGCAGATCAAGTTACTCACCGCAGATCTCAGCGAGAGCCCCCGGGCTCCCCAGCAGGAAGAGCAGGGCCATGAGTCGCCCCATGGCAGGAGCAGGTGGGTGAGCAGCAGGCAGGAAATGGGACAGGCTCCTGGGGCTGGGCTTGCAGAGGGTCTCCTGACCACAGTCCGTCACTACTCCGAAAGAGGCACCTTCCTGTCACTGATTAATCTCTGCACGCCTGGCACGCTGCTAAGTCAGCAGAGAAAAAGGGGAAGGAAGTCCAAAGAACAGAGGAAGGAAGAGCCGAGCAGGCTTCCTGGAGGTAGGGGGCAGGGGGAGAGGAGGGCAGGTAGGGATGGTGTGAGACATCTGAGGCCAGCCACATGCTGTTCCCGCTGCCTAAAGAGCCCTGGACCAGCGCAGAAGGCCTGCCATCTGATCTGCCCAAGTCTGTCTGATTGGGCCTGTCTGGTATCCCCCCAGCTGTTCCAGTGGTGGATGGCCAGTGCGGGGGTGCCTACCTGGTGCCTCTCACAGAAGGAGCCCCTCGAAGTGCCCACCCTGGCGTGGGACAGGGAGCAGTACGGGGAGCTGCTATTGTCACGTGAGCGAGACTGCTGTTGTCAGCTGTTCTCTGCCTGCCCGCCCAGGGAGGCGGGGCAGCTGGACCCAGAACAGACAGGCCAGTTTTCTCAATCATCTGGAAAGCTGAGGGCCTCCTGGAGACAAAACAAAACATATTAAGGAACGAGATTTAATCATTTGAGACACAAAGCCACCTGTAGCAAGGCTACTTGTCAGGACTAGGAAAGTGACCTAAAAAACCTCTGCAAGGAGGAGAGAGAACAAAGGATTCCTCATCTGCCCAGCCCCACAGGGAAATCAGGGTACAAGAGTTAACTCTGGGGTGCTGTGTGACCTTTACCAGGTTGCTTAACCTCTCTGAGTATGAAATAGGTTCTCATGTGTGAGGTGAGAGAGTTGGATAAGATCATTCTAGCTAAGCTCCCTTCCAGCTCAACTTGTGCAAATGTTATTACCTTAAAACGCCTCTAGTCATTTCCAAATAAGATTTTTACTGCAATCATTTTCTGGCAAATTGCCAAGGTTCGTTCTTTCAAGATAATTTGTTTTTGCGCCTGACTTATCACAAGTCAAGCTCTTGACATAGATAAATACAGAGGTGTGCATCTGCTTACAGAATTTATAATTAGATTGTCCAGTGCAGGAAGGCTGGGTGTGGCCCATCAGGGTGAGGTTCTGGGGAAGGAAGGAGGCTAGCTGGAGGCCCAATTTCTGCAGATTCTCAGGTTCGAATCTCCAAGGGCAATTTGTGTGCAATGGAGCCACCTTGGTCAGAGACAGGACTGCCCCAGCCCCCCAAGCCTCTGCCTGTGGTAGGTGGTGGTGATTCTGGTTCCTGTCACTTCCAGGAGGGCAGCCTGGAGGAGGCGGCCATGGTGGAGGGGCTCCCCATAGCCTGGCCTCTGGTGAGAAGCAGTTTCTTTCAGGATAGTCACCTCTGATACCTGAGGACTCGAGGGTACCACAGTGAGGGAAACAGATAACCCCCTGCCTGCTGGCTTGGACTCACCCTCCCAACAGGGAAGACGTGCATTTCCCAAAGCTATTAGAAACAGAGTGGCTGATTGGGGGTGGAGCTGGGCTGTTTTAGGTAATGCAGTTGTAGGGGAGGAAGACAATTCCTCTACCCACTCTAGGTCCTTCTGGCTGGCCTAAGAATTAAATTGACATGAGGCAGTGTGGGAGATCAAAATTGGCCACCTCGGGGCCGGCCCGGTGGCGCAGCGGTTAAGTGCACGCGCTCCACTGCAGCGGCCCGGGGTTCGCAGGTTTGGATCCCGGGCGCACACCGACACACCACTTGTTAAGCCATGCTGTGGCGGTGTCCCATATAATGTAGAGGAAGATGGGCACGGATGTTAGCCCAGGGCCAATCTTCCTCAAGAAAAAAGGGGAAGATTGGCATCGGATGTTAGCTCAGGGCTAGTCCTCACAAAAAAGAAAAAAAAAATTGGCCACCTCAAAATATGTCTTTTTACCTTGATTATTTTCTCTGAAAAAAACTTTGACCTTCTCCCAAACTTATGCCTAAAAGCAACAGACTGGGAGGGTTTTTGCTAAGCCCAGTCTTATCAAAATTCTCTTTACCAAACATTTATATTTGTAAGGGAAATCTCCATGTGTAAAGGTATCTCCCTCTCTGTACTGGGAAGTGGGGGGATGACCTCATCTCTAGAAACTTATCAATGAGGAAGGCAAGGCTGCATAATAACCTTACTGTGCTTTTCTGGTAATTGCCCATAACTGACTCCCCCACCCCCAACATCCTTCTTTGTCTTTACTTAAATCTATTTAAGAAGAGAACCTCCACCATTTTGTTGAGAAACTCGATTTCCCTGGTTTCTCCCATGTATACATGTTATTAAACTTTGTTTGATTTTCTCCTGCTATTCGGTCTCATGTCAATTTAATTTGTAGCCCAGCCAGAAAGGCCCCAGAGTGGGTAAAGGATAGTCTTCCTCCCCTTCAACAGAATAACAGGAGAAAATCAAAAAAAGCTTTATAACATGTATACATGGGAGAGACCCAGGAAAACTGAGCACCTCTCCAGAATGGCTGAGGTCACCACCTTAAATATCATTTTTAGCTAAAGACAGAGGAGAGTGTTGGGGGTAGTGGTTTGGGGATTCAAGGGGGAGGAAGAGAATTTACATGGAGATGGAAATGCAAACGGGCCAACTATAGACAATGTGACCTGAGAGACACATTTTACATTACATTACGGTTATCTTATGGTATTAGCTCCTTCCTGGAACAGGTCCTTCTATTTTAAATACTTTTAGGCAATGGGGGGTGGAGGGGTTTCAAAGTTTCTTTCAGAGTCTTTTGTTCTTAGAAATAATCAAGTCAAAGAAACACATTTTGGGGTGGCCAATTCTGATCCCCCACACAGTCAAGGAAAGTAAAAAAGAAAGATGACTAAAGCTTTTGGTTTGAGATTTCTACTTGGGAGACTTTAGCTGAGAAAGTAAAAATTAGCTTGCGATGAGTAAGTAGAAGTCTGCCTGTCCATGCATCAGGACAGGCAAGGATAAAGCGAGCCACAAAGTTAACAGGAAATACTATTTCTCCCAAGGTCATGTTACAGCTGTAAAGTGTCCTAATAGCCATGTTCTTTGAGTGACTATTACTTTTTTACTGAGATTTCTTTTTTTCCCCCTAAAATCACAAACTAGCAGAAATTTGCTGTTTGAAATTATTCTAGTAAGAATGAAACATTCCTGGGAGGAGCTAAGTCACCGTGAAACCAGCAAACAGTTAGCCATTGATGATTAGGGAGCTAAGAACTAGAGTTTTTTTCCTTTTTGCAATTACTGATTGTAGCTTTTAGTTGTTCCCCCACCCCTTGTTAACTATGCTGTTTAGGCAATATGCTGTCTGACTCCCACTAGGTTCCTATAGATAACATCTCCTTGAAGCCTGGGTCACCATGGTAATGGATGTTTGAGCTGTTTTCAGGAATTAGAACCCCTTGTCCACTTCAGGCCAGTTGAGACCACCAACACATACTGGGACCATGCAGATGTCTGATAAGTGATCTTTCAATGTCAAGAGGCTAAAAATTCCATCCTCGGGTCATGCCAACATCGCCATTTTGCGAACATGCATCCTACGAAGAGGCATGAAGTCTGACTAAGCTTGTGCAGATCATCAGTTACCTCACCTCTCCTCACCTCCAATGATCTATCTCCACATTTCAGACCACCTTGCCCCCGACCCCATAAATAACCCTGAGTCCCTATTTTCAAGGAGGCAGATTTGAAACTTGTTCTCCCGTTTTCTTCACTTGGCTGCCTTGTGATTAAACCCTCTCTCTCTGCAATCTCGTTGTCTCGGTGTTTGGCTTTCTGGGTGACGGGCAAAAACAAACTGGTTTGGTAACAAACTTGTCACAGAGAAGCAGCCTCAGATGAGGAGTTTCTGGACTCAACATTCCAGGCCTATCTTAACTTTGTAATTTCCAAAGGAACAGGACTCTGGTGGGTCCACTGTGCTTTGCTGTTGATAAATAAATGGCAAGCAATAGGATGTATTGGAGTATATGAGGAAGACTTTTGGTGTAAAACTAATTCGGCCAGACCTTGTTTTTCCAAAAGGGCCAGACGTGGCCTTTGAACATGCATTGTATATCTGCTTTAAGCATTTACTATGTCAAAAAGACACGAACAAATGCCGTTAAGATAAAGTAACTTCCCCCACATCAGCATTTCCTTAAGGATAAGCATCTCTCTCTCTAGGCTAGGGATTGATTGCTGACCTGCTGTGACCATCCAGCTGGAGACCACAGACCTGCTACCTGCTGTGTTCATCAATTGCTGTGTGAATCGCTGTGCCAGTTAGGCAGGCTAGGCAATCTCATGACTGTTGTAAAAGGGACATTCCAATCATATGTGATACATGCTCTTTGATGGTATATAACCACTCTGTACACCCCACTTCTTTGGTGCCCTTCCTTCCTTGGGGAAGGAAGGCCCCAGGCTATATGGTCCTCAAATTTAGCTCATAATAAACTCACCCTAATTTTGATTTATAGATGGGTTATGGATTATTTATGTCAACACTGTTCAGGCCTGAAGTTGACCCTTCTCATGCAGCTCTGTGTTGCGTTGAGCCTATCAAAACACTGTTTGGTGGGGGGGGCCAGCCTGGTGGTGTAGTGGTTAAGTTCATGTGTTCTGCTTCAGTGGCTCGGGGTTCATAGGTTTCGATCCCAGGTGCTGACCTACACACTGCTCATCAAGCCATGCTGTGGCAGTGTCCCATATACAAAATAGAGGAAGATTGGCACAGATGTTAGCTTAGGGCCAATCTTTCTCACCAAAAAACCCCAGAAACACAACAAAACAAAACAAAAACAACACTACCTGGTTTATGTTTCACCTAACTCTACCCTTCCCTCAAATCCTGTAATAACCTCTCCCTTTGTGTCGTCAGAATCCCACAGTTCCTCTGCTGAGTGGTCTCCCACATTGCAATGGGTCAACAAAGCTGACTTTATTAGACTAAAGGTTTGTTCTGGTAGTCTTAGGTGGATTGAGCTAGGACATAGCCAAAGAAAGAATCCAAAAGAGAAAAATAAAGTTGTACGCATGAAGATGGCATGAGAAGAACGGATATGGCAACTACATGACTATATGGTTATATATGGACTATCCATTTTATTAATTAAAAATGTAAATACATAACAA